AAATTTGTATAAAAGAATGATTGCTGCCCAAATACACAATATATATATGTCGGAAATTAAAAACACCCCTACCACACACTGATACATACACAGAACGCACACACACAATTAAGCTGAAAATCGAATCATCCTTGATAATGGCTAAAGATATAGCCAAAACTCTCAGAAATATAAAACATTCAGACAGTTCTTACACACCCTTTGTCCAGAAAAGAAAGCTCTTGTCAGAACACAAGAAAAATTAAATAAAAAGCTTAACCATAGTACCTTGTCTGTTGTTTTTAATGAAACATGCATATATATATATATATATATATATATATATATATATATATATGTGTGTGTGTGTGTGTGTGTATATATATATATATATGTGTGTGTATATATATATATATATATATATTGTGCATTTAGCCAGCAATCCTTCTTTCATGCAAGTTTCATTAAATATGACAGGCAAGGTGCTTTGATTAAGTCTTTTATATAATTTATCAAGTGATCTTATAATTTGTTCTTTTCAGTAATTAATAAAAACAAAATATTATTAAAAATACAAAACCAAAATGCAATAATATCAACTATGAACATGGAAACAATATGTTGACCGTATTTTGAAAATGAAACATTATATAAATACATACATACAACAAACTATTTCTAGTTAACAGTTAATATATTTCAACCTTGAAAATGGCTTAATATATAGCCAAAAGCATTCCGAACAAAACATTTGTACAGTCTTTGTATAATTTATCTGCTGAAAAAAATATTATAAGATCACATGAGAAATTATATAAAAAAATTAATCAAAGCACCTTGTCTGTCATATTTAATGAAAATATATATATATATATATATATATATATATATATATATATATTATATATTATTTTAGAGCCAAACAAAAGCTTCCTTTTTGTGACATTCAGAAAACCAGTTTATTTCTGGTTCATATCTTGTAGTTTTCATTTTCTTTCTTTTTTTTAAGATCTCTGCTCAACATTTTTTGCAATCTCCAACTTTGTGTTCCTATCATTCAGTGAATTTACAATATTGCGTTCCTCTTTTCAGCTTATCATTTATAAAAGCTCATTAGTCAAGTTATTAACTGCTGTCCCCTGTCCCCCCCTTGAAAGTGAAAAGGGGATAAACTGAAATCGGGGACAAATAAATTTTTATTGGCCAAAGTTGGCTTCACCCAATAAAAATTTATTTGCAATATCTTATTTCTCTTTTGAAGTTGTCTTTCTTATAACTCAAAGAAATCTGAAATTATAAGATAAAGATCAGAAACAATTATGTATTTCTTTATCATATACTGAACAATCCTTGAATTACATGATAAAATCTCATATCTCTAAATAAGAGATTTAAAATATTTCTCAAAGCATATATTGTAAAAGCTGAAATTTACATATTTATAATATAAATCTAATTAAAGTTTTTTGTTGAGGTAAATCTTTTTAATTATTTCTGTTAAAACAGATATACTTCATTCAACTGAGAGGAAAATGAAAAAAGAAAAAGTAAAAGTATAACTAAAAATGATGATGAGGAAATCTCTCAGCCTTCTTTTGTAGCAGATGGGATGGCAGTTAGGTCTCAATTTGATCAGTTTATGAGTTTATATATATATATATATATATATATATATATATATATATATATATATACTTTATTACTCACTTGGGGTTTCTTCTTTGGACTAAAATTTTAAGGCACTGGACGATTTATTTCGCCCTCTTTGGATGTTTCTATTCAAGGTTTTTTCAACTCAGTATTACTAGTAGTATATATATATATATATATATATATATATATATATATATATATATATATATAAAATAATTGTAACTGAGTGCATTCACATGTTCTTTAAAAATCACCATCACAACAAAATGCAGATTTTATCACAGTAACAATAAGTTTGTCTTCATAATTTACCCTTGAGGATGACCTTGGAAGAGATCAAAAGTACTTGGGTAGGAAAAAACTATGGCGACTTGCTTGAAGAATTTCATCTTAACATCAAGAAACTGATTAGAGAACTAGAAAGGATTATTATAAAAATATATAGACATAATATGTCTATATTATTCAATGAAACATGTTTGAATGAATATATGCTGCCTAAATAGATACACGCACACGCACGCACACACACACACACACACATATATATATATATATATATATATATATATATATATATACTGGACTCTTCCATCATTTTTAACATATGAGGGTCAAGCAGCTCAGTTCTTAGAACCAACAGCCTGACCACTCACATATATCATTTGATTATAATGTTGAAGGTTTGTGCAGAAGCAACCACACTTTTTGGAAGATCCAAGAGAGAACTGCTGCACAGTATGTCACAAGGTATGCAAACAACACTCTGCAGGTTTTGAATTCAGAGTTGTCCTTCCCCTAGACCGGTTGCCACTCATGGCTACAAGATCCAGTCTGTCCTATTTACCCATAGCTGGGAGAAAAAGAAATAGATTCATACATTTCCCAAGGTTATTTTTTATTTGTTTTTTACAGTGAGTTTCACCCTTTACAATGCCCAGGAGCCACTCAAGGTAGAGGGTTATGATTAAAAGCTATTTGTGCATAGAAGTGGAAGACAACAGTTTAATCCAGCCTTGAACAGGTTAAGATTGAAGTCATTGAGGAAACATCCTGTTGGGAATCAGTTCCACAGGATATTGGTTTACAGGAAGAAGCTGCTCGTGTGGAACTTACTTCTCACCATAGGAATATGGAGGGAATGTGGATGGTTTGCTAATATGGAAGTGGCCTGGGGTATTCTTGCTGTGAAGTATTGTCTTGGCGGGACCAAGAAATGTAGTTCATCCGAGCACTTTCCATGGAAGTAGTGGTAGAGTAGTGCGAGGCTTACCACATCCCACCTGAGAGGGTGAAGAATTTTTCATCACCCATAAGGGCTCAAAGATACTTGGAGAGTAATGTTTTTGAAAAGAATTAAATTCTAAACTGAATATGTGGTGACTGTTCTTTGATAATACTTTTCCTTTTAAAAATGAAAATTAATTCAATCTTATGGATCCTTGTCTTTCTAAAGCATAGAAGTAATTGAAAAGTTTCTTCTAGGGATCAATACTTATCCTTTGTCCACCCTAATTTCGCAAATTGGTGGATTTTTGTCCCTTTTTCCCTAAATACACATCTAGTATATTTATTGATTTGTTTTTTACAGCTTATAAATGTTTCTCATAAATTCAGAAAATATTTTTACATTGTAAGAATTTTTTGGAGATAATAATGATTTACTGATGTCCTACTAATTAACCCATATTTGGGGGGAGAAGAGGTGGAGTCATACCTTTTCCAAGATTATTTGCACATAAAAAAACGTGAATATAAAGAACTCAACTGGAATTGGAACTTGGCTCTCTGATTTCCAATTCCTTACCATTGTCCATTATATCATTGAACATCTGAGCTGACAGCATCTGGTATTCCCAAGTGATCACCCATATAAGTACTGACCAGGCTCAATGTTTCTTAACTTCACTAATCTTGCAAGTACTAGTTTTTCAGTGTGATATAGCTGTATTTAATAGTCTTAATTACATTTGTGACATGTAGTGTCATCAAAAGTTTATAAAACAAATATTTTTTCAATATACAGTATTCAAATATTGACCTCAACGAGAAATTCTTAGTGAAGATTTTATCAGTCACTCTTCAATCAAAGAAAAAGTAATGGTCAATAAATTAGAATTAAATGTTATGGTAAATTATTTTGACTGCACCCTGTTAAAGTATTTTTAGTGAATTATTAACTCAGATGAAAAGGAAGATTTGCAATCTATTTATATTAGTCAAGGAAAATTCCATGACAATTCTCTGAAAAGTAAAACAAGAGAAATGGATAAAAGAAGATGACTGACATGGCAGATCCCAACCAAACACTTTATCATTTTACCTGCTCCTTCACTCACCTGAATCAATAGCCTAAACTTAGATATGTCCCTCATGATGTTTCTACCACCACATCTTTAACCCCCAACCTATCCCTCCATCCTTGACTTTTGCCCCCTTCTCCCCATTTGCATTGTCTGATTCTTCAGCCAGCTGACCATTGAGCAAATACTGGTTTAAGCCACTGGCTTTTGTTAAGATTTGATTTCTGGTTGAGCTAATGCTGATTCAAAATCATACTGGTTTCTCTAGTCAAAAGTCATTATGTTGTTATGCTTATTGCTAACATCATCATTGTCATCATTACAATGACTGTCATACACATGGGATCTTGGCATCATCATTTTTGGATTTAATACTCTGTTGGGAATCAGAAGCCAAAAGCCATTCCTTTTCCTAGCTTTGTCTTTGTGCAGTGTCTTTGATATGCTACTCAATCCCTCTCCCTTCCACGTGTTGCCCGTCAACTTTCGCCTGTCACTCCAATGTGCAAAGATGTCCTCACCTGCTTTTGCTGTTTATTCCAGGTAGCTTTCTCCAGCCACCTGTCATTTTCACATAAGCAGAGAGAAAAAGAGAAATAAGATGGAAGAGAAAGGACTGTTTATCCAACATTCTTGTGTTCTTCACCTGCCTCCAACTGACCATGTCGGCTTTTCGTTCAATCTTACCCTACCCTACCCTAATCTATCTGACTTTTCTATCCAATCCCCTTCATGCTGTGAGATTTTGGCATTGTTTAATCCTTCTAATCATCCAACCTCAGCAACAAACAATACAGTCTTCTTTCCATAACTACACACACTCCTAAATTCATTTTTCAGCATGCATCTATTATTGTTTCCCTCTGTTTCATCTCCAGGGGTCATCATGGCATCAGACTGATACAAAAGTCCATGTGCTTTTATCTTTCAGCGGCTTCAGAATTAAGATGACCAAAGTTTTCAATAAGAGGGCAGGTGTATAATAAAATGGATTTCTGTCATAGAAAATATCTGGGGTTGGGTGTTTGTTGAGTGGGAACAACTGTAAGTCAAGAATATTGTGACATGCCTGCTTCTTTTCTTCACTTTGTTTGTCTCTTTCTTGCATTTCCTTTCTTTGTTCCTCTCTTTCTTGCTTTTCTTCACTTTCTTCCTCTCTTTCTAGATTTTCATCACTTTCTTCCTCTCTTTCTAGATTTTCCTTTCTTTTTTCCTCACTTTCTTGCTTTTCTTTTCTTTGTTCCTCTCTTTCTTTTCTTCACTTTGTACCTCTCTTTCTTGCTTTTCTTTTCTTTGTTCCTCTCTTTCTTGCTTTTCCTTTCTTTGTTCCTTTCTTTCTTGCTTTTCTTTTCTTTGTTCCTCTCTTTCTTTTCTTCACTTTGTACCTCTCTTTCTTGCTTTTCTTCACTTTGTTCCTCTCTTTCTTGCTTTTCTTTTCTTTGTTCCTCTCTTTCTAGATTTTCCTTTCTTTGTTCCTCTCTTTCTAGATTTTCCTTTCTTTGTTCCTTTCTTTCTTGCTTTTCTTCACTTTGTACCTCTCTTTCTTGCTTTTCTTCACTTTGTTCATCTCTTTCTTGCTTTTCCTTCCTTTCTTTTTTCCTCTCTTTCTTGCTTTTCTCTCACTTTTATTCTTTCCTTTTTCTTCTTCATATCTAGATTTTATGCCTCTGTTTTTTTAATTCAGAGTTTATATTTCTCTCTCTCTCTCTCTCTCTCTCTCTCTTTTGATAGCACTTTTCTTCTCTAGAGTTTTATTTCATTTTTTTGTTTTGTTTTGTTTTCTTATTTTATATCTAGAATATTCTTTCATTTTTTATTTTAATTTTTCTGTTTTACTTGTTTCATTCTTATAATTTCAAAACTCATTCATTATTTCATTTTTTTATGCCTTATGAATTTTATTGAAAGCATTTCAGAATTCTTTTGTTTTTCCTCAAATTGTAATTCTACTTTTCTTGTTTATTCTTTAAATTTCATTCTTCCTTGCTTTCTTTTCCTGAATTCCTCCATTTAATTGTTCCTTTTCTAACTTCTACCACTGCTGTATGTTCTTTCTTTCTTTCTTTCTTTCTTTCTTTCTTTTAACTATTTGTTTAACTATCAATTTTAATAAAAAATATTATTTAATCAGTAAATTAGGTAGTAAAGCCACTAAGACACAAGGGGGTGTGGAAAAATTAAAACAGAAACATTAGTTATGAGGAGAAAGTGAAAACAGCAATCAGGACAGTAGATAGTGATTGACACTGCATTTAATTTTTTGCAGATTAAAGTTGGTTGGAAAGCATGGAACCAGGAGTGAGTTCCATGAGTGAAAAGTGTGAGATTTAACTATTTATTTATTTTCTCTTTCTTTATTTTCTCCTTTTTTAACTATTTATTCATTTTCTTTCTTTCTTTCTTTCTTTCTTTCTTTCTTTCTTTCTTTCTTTCTTTCTCTATTTTTAACTATTTATTCATTTTCTTTCTTTCTTTCTTTCTTTCTTTCTCTATTTTTAACTATTTATTCATTTTCTTTCTTCATCTATTTTTCTTTATCTTTCCTTCTTTATCTTTCCTTCTTTATCTATTTTTAACTATTTATTTATTTATTTTCATAATTCATTTTTAATTATTTATTTTCTTTCTTTCTTTTTTCATTCTTTACATTCTACATGTCTTTATTTCCAAAATTTATAAATTTCTTGCCTTCTCTTGCTTTGTGTTGTCATTCATTCATACTGTCTCCAAATTCCAAAACTATAAGTACCTTTTCTTTGTCCTCTAACTGAGTGCATTATTATTTGCAATTTATAGCACTTAATACCTTGACAAGATGTCCAGTGTCCAGCCAGACAAAGTTATCTCCCTTTGCCCCATCTTTTATCCCTCCATTCCCTGCTCCTTCATCTGATCCGACCATCCACCATCCACCTTATAACATTCCTTTTTCTCTTTAACATATTCCTCTACTTCTTTAGGCACCACCTTTCCCACATCTTCCTTTTACTTTTTCTCTCTCTCTCTCTTTTTATATATTTTTTCTCTTTTTACATTTCTTCTCTCTCTTTCTCATTTCTTCATTTTTTTCAATATCTTTTCCGTTTTTACTTTGTTTTACTTTCATCTTCTTTTTACGTTTTCCTTTTTCTTTGATTTTTTTATTTCTCTCTTTTTTCTATCTACACATTCACTTTCTCACTATTCTTTTTCCCCTCTCATCCTTTAACTTTCACTCTTTCCTTTTTCATTCTCTTTTCTCCTCTTCCCCACTTTCATCATTTTTATCCTTACATTTTTTTCCCTCTTCTTGAAAATTCAAGAGGAATTGATAAAAAACATGGCAAAACAGGGGTTATGATTAAATAAAAGATCTTACTAAAATCTTCTTTTTTTCTATGTGGCATATCTATTCAGGACATGAGTCCTGGGTATGATGATAAACTGCATCTGGCAGCAAGGCCTCTGACCATGAGATTGGAGGTTTTGAGGTGCATGGAACCACCTCTTAACTGCCATTGTTACCAGGTCCTCCCTGACCCTGGGTGGTAGCACCTGTTAGGTCCCAGCTCTGGGCAAAGAGTGAACCCACAAACAAAAACAAAACTCTATGAAAGCATAAAAATATATTCTAATAGTAAAAATACCAGGAAAACATTTTTATATAAAAAAAAAGACTAAGAAAACATATTTATAGCAAAATGACCAACAATACATTTTTAAAGCAAAATGAGCAGCAATACATTTTTATCTGTATTTGAAGGCATGCAATTGCGTTCAAAATATATTTAATTGAAGCGATGGAATTGTGTTCAAATTACTTAGATTTTGGCATTAAATAATCCATAGAGATTGATATACTGCTAAACAAAATCAACCAAATCAAACAACCTTCAGGACATTGGTGATCATAGCTCTCCACATTTTCCTGTCAGATGTAGGCTCTTCATAAATTTTATCTTAATTTTAATCCTAAACTATGTTCTACCAACTATTTGCTGAAGCTTGCTAGGTAGATTAAGCATTGTTTTCCTCAGTCCCTCTTTCAATGTCTTGTGAGTATCAAATTTTCAAAGTCCCCATCCTCTTTATGCATCCTCTTTCTGATGTTAAATTTAAGTGTCCTGTTTGTTTCCTTTTTCTCTAATCTTTGTCATTGCTCCCATCTTTGGACTAGGGTATCCTTTAATGTTATTAAAAATAGAAATACATTTCAACCAAGATGTGATTTTTCTTTTATAAAATTCTGGTTGATAGTTAATTTCAGACTGTGTTTTACTTAAAGAAGGTATATTTTATTGTTTCTTCTTTATTATGATTTGATTTTGTGTCATATACTGCTTGTGTGAACATGCAGATAAATAATATTTTTTCTTCTTATTTTTTAATCATTTTGCCCCCAAGCAAGGCAATAAAGCCACTAAGATTCAAGGGGTTACTGAAAATGAAAGAAAGAAACAAAGGACGATAAAAGAACAGGATTCAAGGAGACAGAGGATGATTGATGTTGCATTTAAAGTTTTGATAATTATAGTTGACAAGAAAGCAAGGAAACCAGAAGGGACTTCCACAAGCAAGAAATTTATAATACACAAATATCCCAGTTGATATTTTTCTTCCTTTAAATTAACCATTTGTTTAACTTTTCCATTTTTCTAAAGCCTCTGCCTTCACCTTTTATTCATCAGTGATCATATATTTTATAGAATATGCTTTTATTGATACTCTATTTTGTATCCAGGAAGAAAACCAGTTGATCATTTTGATCAACTTATATTTCACAGTTGCTTGCTATTCAGACTTCATTTTATAAGAGTTAATGATACATTAACTTTCTTCAATATAGGATCAGCCATGTCTGATTATATGGTTTCTTCATGAAATATGGTTGTTCAGCTTTTTTCTAGCCTTAAATCAGCAATTGACAAAACTGTAAAATGGCAAATATATCCTTTGTGGAAAAGAGATGAGATTGTATATTATATTGTAAATGATTATATTTAACTATATTGATCTTTCTCAGACTTCAAAAAGAACCTGAACTTCAGATTCTTCAGCATGAGGATTTTTCAGTCACTTTCAGTGAGAGAAGTATGGGAGAAGCTCAAGTTACTGGCAACTCAGGCAGTTGTCCCAGGTGCTATCAAGGCCAAGGGTACTATCATGCCACCATGCCATGTGTTCAGAATCTTCCAAACAAAAAGGAAAAAATGTGAAAATAAAAAATAAGATGAAATAAAAAACAAAATATTACATTTCTTGATTGGAGAAAATTTTAGAGAATTTGATTATTAATTCTTTCTGTTATGGTGTTGTGACCAAACACTGGGACAGAAAATAAATGAGCAGGCATTATTCTACATTTTCTGTTTTTCTCTTTGAGAAAATTAAAAAAAAATATCTTTGTCAGAGTGCCAATGTTGACCTTAACCTGAATGCTAAAAACTCTCAGGCTGACCATGGTCTCCATAAGACCTAATAGGTTACAGGACTCGTCATGTGATTATACCTTTCCCTGACATGGGATATGTCTGTGATAAAATCCAAACTGCTAGTGTAAAAGTGGACAAAAAAATTAATGAAAATATCCCAACTTGTTCAGTTACTAATTATTTTTAGATGTCTTAAACCAAGTGAAACATGCCTTTTAATATCAGTCTTTAAGATGGCAAAGAGTCTAGAAAAAGAGAATCCAACTTCTGTAATTAATAGGGTAGACTGGGTGATTTTACCTAAGTAACATTCAATCTAGAAAGAAAACACTGAATTGAAAAGGGATTGACTCCATTTGGCTATATTACCCAAGACACACCACTGCTGCTATGGCTGTAGTACATGTGGTGTCCTCATCATGACTGGCTCAAAGTACTGGCAACTCAGGCAGTCATCCAGGGCACCATTATGCTGCCATGTCATGTGTTTGTGATCTTCCAAACACAAAGCACAAAAATGTGAAAATAATAAATAAAATGAAATAAAAAATGAAAATATTAAATTTCTTGAGTGGAGTAAAAATTTTAGAGAATTTGATTATTAATTCTGTCTGTTATGGCGTTGTGATGAAACACTATAATAAAACTATGAATGAGTGGGTGTTATTCTAAATTTTCAGTTTTTCTCCTTGTGAAAATTAAAAAAAAATTATACTTGTAAGTTTATCCAGGGCTCCATCAACCCTAGGGTCATCCCTGCTTGTATATTATAAAATATAGTAAGTAAAGAGAAAAAGATACAATAAAATCAAGGAATCAGAAAAATGCAGTCTGTAAACCATCATTTCTATTTCACTAAATAAAAATATAAATAAGTACTTTTTAAATAAAATAGTTTTCTTGCATCATATTGATGTTGAGATGTCATTAGAGAATTTTAATTGAATTATGCTCTTTAGATCAACCAATAAAATCTATTGCTTATCAGATTTGACAAAATTATAATTTTACTTCAAAAGTTAGCTAAAACTAATATTGATAGAGACTTTGTTATTGGGCTTTTGAAATATCTAAGGACAAAAAAAGCAAAATGAAATAGAAGAGAGTATATTAGACTCTGATCTGCAATTCATTTTTGTCTCTTTTAAACTTTACAAGATGGACGACAAAAAAAAACAAAAAACAATGAAGAAGGAAAAGGAGAAAGAAAAAAGAGAGAAAAAGGATGGAAAAGAGAAAGAAGTA